GAGGAGAGACAGCCAGGAAAGAGCGAGGAGAGACAGCCAGGAGAGCGAGGAGAGACAGCTAGGAGAGAGAGGAGAGACAGCCAGGAGAGAGAGCGAGGAAAGAGCCAGGAGAGAGAGCGAGGAAAGACAGCCAGGAGAGTGAGGAGAGACAGCCAGGAAAGAGCGAGGAGAGACAGCCAGGAAAGAGCGAGGAGAGACAGCCAGGAGAGAGAGGAGAGACAGCCAGGAGAGAGAGCGAGGAAAGACAGCCAGGAGAGAGAGCGAGGAAAGACAGCCAGGAGAGAGAGGAGAGACAGCTAGGAGAGAGAGAGCGAGGGAGGTTTTTTTTCCTTGGTAGAGGTCATTGAGCTCGTCATTTCAAAAGTAGATCTTAACACAAAAAATTGTGGGCACCCCTGCCCTAGTACATAAAGCATTGTGTACGAGGCTCAGAGTTTTATGAGCCCGGAGTGTCTCCTGTCTTGGCTCATGGAGCGAATGTATAATAATATTTGTGACTATATTATTCCAGTGCTGCTTAGGCTTTGGAAGCTCATCTGAACTGGCCACAGCCCATAGGCATGCCTGGACCCAACAGCAGTCAGGAGAGATGTGGCAACAATAGGATGAAACCTTCATTCACCTGCAGAAGTTTGTCCGAACTCCCCTGTGTGTCCAGGTGGACGCTGATTGCCAAAGTCTCTATCCAGGCATTGTCTGTGTTTCGGGGGTCATCCAGGTACCCATGGAAGACCTATCAGAAAAGAGAAATATGATGTTTTGTTTTACATTAGGCCAATCAGTGCGCCAACATGTGAGCAGCAAACTACCAACCTCTGTCCCAGAGCCCAGCAATGCCAGAAATTCGCTCAGGTATGTAGGCTTTAGCAGTGCCTGGAACTTAAAGGGAACCTGCTGTCCTGGATCCAGCGTGCCCTGAAAAATATTCCCCATTATGAGAAGAAGGACATTACCCAGAATGCTCTGCAGTGGAATGGTTAGCATTTACAACAACATGAACTGAAGCATTGTATATACATTAAAGCAGACCAAGCATCTACACCATACAAAGACTTTTTAGGCAATTGTGCATTTTCAACCTTGTGGCAACAGTCTGGGAGAGGCAATTTCATGCTCCATTATGACTGTCTCTTTGCAGAAAGCCAGCTCTATAAAGACTTGGTGTGGAAGAACTTGAGTGGCCTGCACAAAGGCCTGACCTCAAGCTTACTGAACATCTTTGGGATGAAGTGGAACATCGATGAGCCCGGTCTTCTCATCTAACATCAGTACCTGACCTCACAAATGCTCTTGTGGCTGAATGGACCCAAATTCCCACAGATGTTGTGGAAAGCCTTCTCAGAGGAGAGGAGGCCATTATAGCTGCAATGGATGGGGGGACTCCACATTAATACCCATAGTTTCTGAACAGGATGTCCAACAAGCTTATAGAGATGTGATGGTGAGGTGTCCATGAAGGTTTGGCTATACAGTGCATCTAATTACTTACACTGTATATTTGAAATGAAAACACGTTTCAAAATGATAGCCACCATGGCAATCCGTAACACCATTCTGCATTCATGGCTCAGGGTATTTTTACTGCTCAGAATTGCCAACCCAGCTATGAAGAGCCATGGCAGTCTTCCACGTACACACAGCAGAGGAGGTGGCCACCTATCCCCATCTGATGATGATTGGTTTTGTGATATATGATCTATGGGGTATGTCCCATGATCAGAGGGGCTCGTCTTCACATGACAGCTGTGTTTTCAATATTTTATCAACCCAATGGCCCTTAGAAGTGACACAAACTTCTGATTAATTGAATGAGAAAGTTCAGCAGTTCTGTCCGCTTTAACTGCAGCGTAGAATTCATGTCATCATTTTGCTTTACTTATAGTGCTTTGAACTGCAAAAATCCCCCCAAAAACAATACACAATCCAGAATAAATGCCAACTAACATCAGCAAACAAAATTACCCAGAATGCCCCATTAGTAATGAAAACAGAGTTCATAAACACCGACTCAAGTCCGAACAGCACATTGGATACACTATTCCCTTGTCATTAATGTGAGCAGTGGTATTTGTTAGTATAGTGTTTCTGCCCTCACCCCGGGTAATGACCAAAGCTCGTTCTCTCTCCTCTTCACTATCAGAACCTCCAGAATATTCTTGGGTGCTTTCCGGTTGGATCCATCGGCTGAGCTGGGGCTCCACCTAGGAATGAAATCGCGGGACAAAGCGGTCAGTGAGGGCAATCACATCACAAAGAAGCTGATTATATTATGGTTTAAATCTAATTACAGTATTTTTGTTTTGTTTTGTTCTATAGTTCTGTATTTATGTTGAAACCTAAATAAAAACAAATTGAATACAAAGAAGCTGATCTATAAATCACCTGCCCTACAAAAGGTGCAAATTACCACAAGGGCAACTAGCCTGACCTCGGCCCTATCACTAGATGTCTTAAAGTGAATTTCCACTTTGGGAAAACACCTTTTTTATTTGTTATATATTCTCATTCATCAATTGTGAACTAGATTTGAACGTCGTCTATCCTAACAATGGGGTTGAAGATCTTGTATGTTAATTAGAGGAAGCTCAGAGTGTCCCTGATTTTTCTACGGGGACAACCAGAGTTTCCGGTCACTTTGAAATTGTACAGAGAAGCTTGCAGTGTCTAAAGGCTTGCTCAGCAGAGACATCCAAAAGGAAAGAAAACTATTTTACTGTGTGAATGGGAACACATGCAGGGTTATTCACAAAAGGGTGAAGAGTTTGGAGAAGGCGGGAGAAGGGAACAATCTAGGGGCCAAAATAGCTGAACTGGAAAAATAGCTGAATTAGATAATTTTTCCAAATCAGCTATTTTGGCCCCTAGATTGTTCACTTCTCCGGCCTTCAAACTCTTCACCCTTTTGTGAATAACCCTGTTAGTGAACATATAGAGGGGTTTTCTCAAATTCTCAAATTTGACTGAAAAAGTGGAAAAACACTTTAAAGCAAACTACACAGATATACGAACAGCAAGAAGTAATGCGTACTCTGTCCTCTGTGCTTTGTATTCCATCCTATTTATTCCTTTCTGCTGTCCTGCTGTGTCCTTTCTTCCCTCTGTTTCATTTTCTGCGCTGTCCTGCTCTGTCCTCTGTGCTGTCCTGCCCCATCCTCCGTGCTGTCCTGCCCCATCCTCCGTGCTGTCCTGCCCCATCCTCTCTGCTCTCCTGCCCCATCCTCTCTGCTCTCCTGCCCCATCCTCTCTGCTCTCCTGCCCCATCCTCTCTGCTCTCCTGCCCCATCCTCTCTGCTCTCCTGCCCCATCCTCTCTGCTGTCCTGTTCTGTCCTGCCCTCTCTGTTGTCCCGCTCTGCCCTCCGTGCCGTCCTGCTCCGTCCTCTGTGCTATCTTGGTCCATCGTATGAGTTGTCCTGCACTGTCCTTTGTGCTGTCCTCTATTCTTCACTATTCAGTCTTCTCTCCTCCTGAACTGCCCTGCTCAGTGCTCTGTTCTGGGATACACACCTAGTCATCATCTGCACAGAGAATGGTATATAAATAAATATGATTTCAACTCACCGTGTCAGAACTGGGTGCAAAGAATGATTGGGTCCAAACCAGCGCAGACTCCCGACTCCTCTCAGTCCGGTTCGTCCCATCGGGTTCCTATATAAAGTGACAAGATTGAGTTTCTGAGAACAGAGCTTACCTGGTCCTGCTGGTCAACATTCCAGTGATAAGGACTGAGGGAAATACATTCCCAATGATTACCCCAGAGAGAACTCATATGGGTTCCGGCACTGACAAAATAGAAGGGCTTCTTCCGGTCATTGCAGCAGTACATGGTGACTGTGCTTGTTACTCATATTACTGGCCCATATAAAACATCACCTGTCTTCTCTAGAGGAAACAGTCACAGCCAGGACTATCTTACAGGAAGATAATGCGGCTAAACTATCATGACCACTACCTCTGCTACCTTGACCTCTGCCACCTCTTCTCTCCACCCTAGTAGGGCTTAAAGTGAGAGTGTGAATCAGGGGCATGTCTACCGCAAGGCAAACACAGAATCAGGCAGCCTCGGCTGCCTAATCAGGCAATTAGGCAAATCAGGCAGCTGGGTCTAATTTACCTGAGAGAACTGCCAGGTGGAGGTGGAGGTGGGGCAGAGAAGGGGTCGAGTGAGATGCTGCCCAGCCGTCGGAGCTGTTTGGGCGGCTCAGGGCTGACCATACCCCACCGTCTGATGTCAGGATGACCTGAAGGGCAGGCTGGGGGGCTTCAGTTAAGAGTAGCAGAACAGTTGTGCGGAGAAAGGGACCCTGCACAGCCCACCTGGGAGTCCCAGGGTCTATGGTGGGCTTTGTGGGGTCTGTGGTGTAGTCTGCAGGGTCTATTGTGGGCTGTGCAGAGTCTATGGTGGTATGTGGTGGGCTGTGCGGGGTCTCAGGTGCAGGATCTATAATGTGCTCTCTGGAGTCTCAGGTTGGCTGTGTAGAATCTATGGTGGGCTCTGCAGGGTCCCAGATGGGCTCTGCAGGATCTATGGTGGGCTCTGTGGTGGGCTCTGCAAGGTCTGTGATGGGCTCTGCAGGGTCTCAGGTGGGTTCTGCAGGGTCTCAGGCTGTGACCCTGCAGAGCCCACAAGAGATCATTTACAGCCCACCTGAGACCCTGGCTTCCCTGCTACAGCGTGTACGCTGTATCCAGTGACTGACAGACTACACCAAATACCTTAAACAGGAAGGAGTGGGGCAAATTTAGATGGGGGGTGCCCGAGTGTAGTCTTGCCTAGGGCAGCACAAAACCTAACATACACCACTGGTGTGAATAGGGTTCATCATATTTTAATAAGGATTTTCACATAACCCTCTGAAAGAGCTTCAGCCATTGGTGGTGCTGTGTGACATGGGGCATTACTTCTGAGGGAGGTTATTTATAAATGGGGAAAATCAATATTTAACTTTTTTTTTCTTAGGAAATATTAGTTCTGATCACAGGCATAACCACAAACCACAGGGTCCCATAACAACATGTTAATTAGACACACACTCGAACGGTGCCCATTACATTGGGGTTAGAATAAATGCCCCCATTAAATTGGTGGAGAGCCCATTTACTCACCATGCTCAGATACAGACAGTGGCCCATTTTACTCCTTTCCACACAACTCCTTGGGTTCTTTGACACATTGAGGGAAGATAGGTTCTTCTGCTTCTCTCCCTTAGTGGCTCAGACAGGCCATACCTGATGGGGCAGAGGTAGCTGGGCAAGTGATCTATAGACAGGTGAGCAGCCCACCACTGTTAGTACAGGCATGTAGGAAGCCAGGCTTGAGCCCAACAGCGTGCACCTCCTCTGGAGGACCCAGCTACCATAAGGAACTCCTCCATGATTGCTGTCAGAATACTCTAGTTCCAGGTGGGTAGCCCTCCTAGGGCCTTGGGCCTTGGATTCCTCCAGCTGTTAACCTGTGTTACCAGAGCTACCATGGACTTCTTCACTGAGGTGGGGTGCTGTTTATGAGGTTAAGTGCAAGTAGCTGCTTATGTTCTGAAATGTTTTACCGAAGTAGTGATTCTCAGCTAGAATCCCTGTCCCTATGGTCTTGTAGAGAGAGACTATGCTATGCAGCCATAGTACTCGTATTGAGTCACAGGGACATTGCTATGAAAAGTCCATATTTGTGCAGCTTTTAAAATTGGTTGTGGACTATTCTGCAGTGTACGCATGCTCTTTGCCATCCTGATCCTGTTTTGCATTATTATGTAACTTTGCACCTGTTTAGTAAACTATAAATTTACAGTTACTCAGAATTGGTCGTGTCAGACAATGGTGATGGGAGGGGTGCAACAGCGGAGCCAGGTAATACTACTCCGGAGGAAAGCTGGCAACCTACAGCCCATGTAATAATGAACTGTGCTGAGCAGAACGGCTCAGCTAGGGTGACACAGAACAGGGACAGAAGACTGAAGAGACACCTTTCAAGAGAAAGAAAAGGAGCAATCCTAATTTGAAGTTCCACAAACTGTTGGACGTGGCCGTAGTGTGTCAGGGGCAGAGATGTACAAGGTCGGCTGGTGCCATGGCCATTGAAACAGACCCACATGTAACAGAACAGATGGCTCAATGGAATGTGGCCATCTGAAAATTGACAAAAGGGATGGTTAATCTCCAATGTTCCCCATTTTGATACACAGCAGGAATACTCTCCTGTGGGGCAAGGAGGGGATGCCCTCCTTGCAGAAAAGGCAAACACCCACTTGGAAGCATCTAAGGTCACCATCCTTGTGCTGGAGCTCTCGGGAACTGGGCCATTGCCAAAGGGACTGCCCCAACCATACACAGAGGTAACTGATAAATTAGAACCCTCCACTGTCAGGAGTCAAGAAGTTGGGTGGCAAAGTAAAATGACTCTTTGATACCAGCTTGCAAGTTACTACCTTACTAGCAACCATTGTTGCTGCAATAATTCCCTAAGAAGAAGATGAACCCTTTACATTGGTTGTCAGTGGTGAAGCCCCATTACATTGATGATCATTGATAAAGCCTCCTTAATATTGGTGGTCAGCTGTGAAGCATTAGTGGTCAGTAGCAAAGCACCTGTTACATTGGTGGTCAGTGGCAAATGTTACATTGGTGGTCAACAACGAAGACCCAATTACATTGATGGTCAGTGGCCGAGTCTCCATTATATGGGTGATCAGTGGTGCAGCCCCTCATGCATTGGTTTTCAGTGATGAAGACCTTTGGTGGTCAGTGACTAAACCCCCATCACACTGGTGGTCAGTGGCGAAATGCCCATGCCATTGGTGATCTGTGACAAAGCTCCTGTTAAATTGATCAGTGGTGAAGCCCCCATGACATTGGTGGTCAGGCAGTAATGAAGCACCTGGTACATTGTTAAAGGAGAACTATGAGGTGAGTGCTTTTCACTCACCTCATAGTTCTAGCCGACCTGTGACAATGAGACTGTCACGGGTCGGCTCAGTAGATCGGGAGGTGAGCGAACACATACCGGCGTTCGCTCACCACTCAATCCTGTCACGGCTCTCTGCCGTGACAGGGGAGGGGCTAGATTCCCCGCTCCGATCCGCCAGCGCTGACTGGCGGAACGGACGGGGGAGGGGGCGGGTACAGCTGGCTCTAGATAGGCAGAGCCAGCTGTCAGTCACACAGCTGGGCGGATCCCGGCATAATTGTCGGGATCAGCTTCAGCTGCGGCGTCTCAGTATACCGGGGGGCTACAGCTCGTGGTATACTGAGCCTAGGGTGACGGGAGGACGCTAGTTTGTGTCCTCCCGGTACCCTAAGGAGAACTATGGGGAAAAGCCTTAACCCCATAGTTCTCCTTTAATCAGAGGTAAAGCCGCCGTTACATTGATGGTAAGTAGTCTTCTGCTTTCAGGCCTTTGCCAGCAGATTGGAGGCATTTGGTTACAAGCAACGAGTGGGTGACTGCTCTGCTCTGATTAGCATCCACATATTTTACTCTTCATCTTTTCCTGCTGTTACCTTTTTTCACACATAAGCTTATGGGGTAGGGAACAAATAAAGATCTGCCTTAAATGACAGAATGACGGCATAAAAAAACATTGGACTCACAGAGGTAAACCGTCCTGGACTATATAGGTGCCACAGCAGCTGCGGAAGTCGTAAAGTCCGTCCATAGAATTGTACTTGCGGCTCTTTTGCTCCATCCTGGATTTAAGACAGATACAAAGAGAACACAGAGTGAGTGCAAAGGACAGGACCTCTTTAGTCTTCAGCTATACAGTTACTCTGAGACACTAAGATTCTTAACAGTGTTTGCTGTATGATGCCCTCTATAGGATACTTGGAGGAATCATTTCACCATTCCTCACCAAATGAATGCAGCACGGCAAATGTCTATATTGTACCCTTGTGGTGTATAGAATTGTGAGTAGAGCCTACGTGTTGTATATTTGTGCACCATATGTGTCACTTATAGACAGAAGTGTGTACACACCTGACCATTACACCTATTTGAGCTCATCAGAAAACCTATTCCAAATCATGGGCATTAATCATGGAGTTGGTCCCCCTTTGAGCCAATAGCAGCCTCCACTCCTCTGGGATGGCTTTCCACAAGATTCTGGGGTGTGTCCATGGGAATTCATGTCCATTCCCTCAAAAAAGCATTTGTCAGGTCACTCAATGATGCGGGATGAGAAGACCTGGTTCATTAGTGTTCCTATTTATCTCAAAGGTGCGCCATGAAGGCCACACCAAACTATTCAACCAACTAATTTTTCCACAACAAACTATTCAACCATGGCTTTATGGAACAGGCTTTGAGGACAGTCCATGGTGGACCAGAAAACGGCCTTCACCAAACTGTTGTCACAAGGTTGGTAGTGCAAAATTGTCTAAGCCCTCGTTCACACCTGAACGTTTTGTAGCGCGTTCTACGCTCGACGAACGCTCTACAAAACGCTCAAAAATATAAATCCCATTGTATTCAATGGTCTTGTTCCGCCCTTCCCTAATGCGCTACAAAACGGCCCACGCCTGAAAAGGTACAGGTACTACTTTGGGCCGTTTTGTTGCGCGTTTCCATTGGGATACAGCCAAGTAGCGAATCGCGGTAAAAAAACGCGCGACAGACGCGCATATGCAATACGCCTAGGTGTGAACGAGACCTTAAATGCCTTTATTAGAACATGTGCAATTTGTTTAATAATGAATCGAAATTTGGAATAATTTACGGAAATTTGGACATTCGATGCATCCCAATTTCTGAATTAAAAAATAACGAATCTGAATGTATCCAAAATTTCCGATAACTAAATGTCATGTCCAATTGACATTCTAAATGAGTCCCCTCCCCCTATCATACCAGACCCTTTACGTCTAGTAGGAATTTTATGGGGGCCTCAACCCTAAAAGGAACCAAATAAAAATGTCAATGGTCATATAGGTAGGTGTGATGGTCAGATGCCCACAAACGTTACGTCATAGAGTGTATATGGATCCTAGCATCTCGAAGTGCACATATCATCCATTTTTTTATCATAAAGTTCTGTTATATATTCATGTCATTAGTGTATGTTTTGTATATATAGATTATTTGTCATTCCAGCAATATACTTTGTGTCTTTTATGACATAATGCTCATTTTTGGCCATTATGCTCTTCCTGTTGGCAAATTGCTGCCTGTCCCTATTCTCCTCACTACAAAGACAAAAGAATCAATTGTATCCTGAACTTGAGTCTGTTTTTCTTTCTTTTTCTACCTGTGATTGTGAACTCACTCAGTGTTTGGGTCATACGTCCCTCGGTCGTTCCTCTCAGCGTTGTAGAGGGGAGGATTATATCCCGGAAATTTCTCCTGTGGATGATATACAAAGGTACTCTGATCACTTCTGATCTTCTCCATGGTCACCACTTACCTTTTACCAAGATACCTGCAGATGCTTTGTGTTGCCTACACTTGTCCTACTCGGGTAAGTCCTGGAGCTGGAAGCCAGGAGGGCTAATGAGGGTGGGCTAGTGTAGTTTGTGTTAAAGGTCCACCTCAACTTTAAAAAGCGCACAAAATATAAAGAGCTATTCATTTTTATAGGAAAAAATGCAGTAGAGTGTTGATCCTGGGAGTATCCAATTGCCTTTTGGGTTCAGGAAGGATTTTTATCTCCTGTTGGATCAAATTGGAGCAACCTACATAAGGGTTTTTTTTGCCTTCCTCTGGATCAGCAGGACGTTTACCCTTTTTATTTAGGTTGACCTTGATGTACGTGTTTTTTGGCAATCTATGTAACCATGTATCTATCTCATATGTGTCACCAGTATTTATCTCTTCGGGTTTTTCCTTGCTGTAATTTCCTCCAGCCACTGTCCTCCGCTCTTTACACAGAAGATCTCCATGATCTGGTATATTGTGACTTCCAGCCTGTCCCATGTTGTCACCTGCACATTCAGATGCTTTCCTGTCACCGGCAGGTACTCACCTCCCATGGCACCAACTCATCGGGCACTGCGCAGCGGGTCATTTTAGAGTTCGGGTATTGCAGGATCCGGGAGTTCACGTGGTACAGGCAGTTCTTCTCTCCGCTTCCATCTGTTCCCACTGCGGCCTTATCTTCGGAGTCCTGAGAGGTGCTGTGGACTGACCGAGAAGACAAGAGGGACATAATACCAGAACCCACCTCATCTCATTGTGCATACATAATGTACCAGACCGCCCATAGACTCACCCAATATCCGTGTCTTACTGCTGAAACCTTTCTCCGTCAGGGCCGAGATGATCCAGTTCAGATATCGAGTAGACTGATCCACCTGCATCACAAGACACTACAGTTAAGCTGGGCCTGCACTATACAGTCAGATTGCATAATCTCCTTTAAATGTAAAAACTTGCTGTGCTCAGTAGATCGAAAACGAGACTGTGAAATCAGATTTTATTGTGTAGGTTCAGCTTTAGCCTTATATGGGCCCTGGACTATGTCAGCTGACAGGAGGCTCCTATGTGGGTATATTTACAATCAAGAAAGAGATTGCTTTGGGAAGGTAAAACAAGGCTGTGAAGCAGTTATCACAGCCTGCAATACCACCAGCTACCACCAGTCAACATCTAGCTAGCTGGGCATACGCAGGCCAATGCAAATCTCACATATATTGCGATGCATTCTAATGGTTGTGTAGCAGTGTCAGGGACCTGAGCACCTCCAGGTGTCACTGTGGCGCTAGAACCAGATCCTGCAGTTCCAGTGCTCACCTGCAGGTGTCTCCAGGCAGCCAGTAGCTGTCAGGGACCTGAGCACCTCCAGGTGGCACTGTGATGCTGGAACCAGGTCCTGCACTTCCAGGGCTCACCTGCAGGTGTCTCCAGGCAGCCAGTAGCGGTCAGGGACCTGAACACCTCCAGGTGGCACTGTGACACTGGAACCAGGTCCTGCAGTTCCAGTGCTCACCTTCGGGTGTGCCACCTAAAAAATCGTTGATTAGGATAAATAAAACAAGGGATAAATCTACTCACAAGCAAACGTTTTCATCACGCTTTAACAACAAACAAAAGGCAACACTGCCTGTTAACCCAACATGGTATCGCCCCGACTATGTAACACGGTAGCCTCCGGTCACATCACCGTCCACCAAGATTGACGCGTTTCAGGGGCAAACCCCCTTCATCAGAATCATGGGAGGGTATTTAGCCTCTCCCTGCAGTGAGGCCTGCGCCTCAGTATTGTTGCCATATCCTGTAGCTCGTTCCTGTTCCTGCTCCTGCCTTGAACCCTGACTCGGACCTGACTCCTGACCCTTACCCCTGAGGTCTCCTGATCGGTGGCTCCCCTCTTGTTGTCCTGCTCGCCAGGGTTTGCCCTGTTGTCTCCAGTGTGTACTTTGTTATTGTAGGCTTTTATATGTTACTTGCGGGTGGTGGTGGGGTGCTTATGGTGGTGGTGTTTTGGAGTAGCTAGTAAACTATAGTTCATAAGCATTGTTTGGTGTGGTCATGTATTTGGTTGTCTGGTAGAGATACCTGCATGCGGTGTGGGGACACCCGTGCATGTTTAAGCTATCTTATGAACGGAATCTATCCGCTTACCCACACAGACTAGACACACAATTCAGGGTAGAGTGTCACCAATTGCAGTTGGTCAGCTGACTGGTCTGTTCAGCAACTACACACACACACACACATCCCTATTGCTGGAAATGAGATCTGTCCCTGCTTATGGCAGATACAGTAGCTCCCACACACTGACACTAAACTGCATACAATCAAAGTGGCTGCAATTATAGAAAACACAAGGGTGCAGTCACGTGATGCATCTCACACAGATTGGCAGCAAACGTAAATGAAAATGACAAAAAATAAAATGGCGTGCAGAAATGTTTTTGATAGTTTTATCCTGTTGCCGGGAGCACACCGGATCCAGTAACTGTCTTGTTTCTGAAAAAGCTCCAAATGCTTTACACTGTTCATCTTCAATCACCTTTTGGAGGTGGTACCCCACTGGGTGTGAGGTTCTCACCACTGGAAGTGGCTTTTGGTTATATGGACCAGCCAGTTCTGATGGCTGGGTCAGCGTCAGGAGTAACAACACCAGTGCATTTTACTGATCGCAACAAGTCCAAACAGAACCTTACTGCTACAGGCCACACATTTAGGGTAGACTTCCACTAGCTGCAGTTGGTCAGCTGACTGCTCTACTAGGCAATAGTAGTCCATATTATTATTAAGGTGGTCCCTAGGTGGTTTTATAAGGCCAGGACATAATTCATACTATAAGAAGGAATAACTCCCCACACCAAATATGTTGGATCTTATGAGAGATGAAACATATTCCCTCTGATCTTTGGAAATTTTTGTAATTTTCCCAGACGGTGTGGTGTTCCAATTTGTCAAGACCTCTCCCTCCCTGCTGATTTGCAGTTGCCGAGTCTGAAAGATTCCCCTGATGACCTGCCCCCCCCCCCCCCCCCCAACAAGGTGACAGTTGTCCAAATTTATCTACAGCTACAAGCCTACATGACCTTGTCAAGGAGTCTGGGGGGTTCCTTCCAGACACTCATTAGAAGCGAGGTGGTAATTCTTCAGATATCCAGACCCGAGATGCCTGTTCAGTTTCTAAACTATAAATATTTGTCCATTCCACTGAACACTGAATTATGAACATATATATATAATATTATTTCCCCATGTGCTATATCTATTCTTAAAATCATCCACCATGGGTGGTCCTACTTAGCTACAATATCACCTAGCTATGATACCACCAGTAGAGCTTCCAAGATCAGGGCTACATCAAAGCAATGATTCTGCATTCTGTACCAGACCTGATCTAACAACTTCAATGCCACAAGGGGCAAGTGCCTTCAGACCTGTATCTAAATCCAAGAACTGGACACAAAGCCACAGAGGAGAGAAGTTCTGCATAACAGGCATCCTAGCTCATTTTTGCCTAGCACATCCCATGTGACCTTGGTCAGCCAACTGCGAGCAAGCTTTTAAAACCGTGTGCATCCAAAAGCATGGCTACAGCATGTGTAGTTTGATATAACCAATTACCTGCCTCTATCTACTAAGGTAAGCTAAAGAGGAAAATATAGTAGACACTCCATTGAGGTGGACTATGGAAGGGTTACATAGGTTGCAGACATGTCATGGTAGACTATGAAGAGCATAAATATTTGTGGGTTAAACACTCTATTATAGTGGACTATAGATGGCAGTATAAGAGGACATACACTCCCCCAAGGGACTATAGAGGGGAGTTGAGGAATTTTTACCTGCTCTTCCAGCTGAGACAGCCTTCCATCAAGCTGGTGCCCTTCGCTGCCCTTCTCTATTTTCAGCAGACGCAGCACTGCGGAGACACTGCACCGGACACTAATATGACATGTCAGAAATACATCACACATGTAAAGACTATGACTGCAGCCAGACCGTATTCTACCAGGAGCAGGCCAGGCCAGAATAATGACTGACAACAACCCAACCACTGTATAGTTATAGCAAAAATGTACATGAGGAAGGGGAGAACTGCCCCTTCCTCATGTACATTTTTGTACATGAAAACTATACAGTGGTTGGGTTGTTGTCAGTCATTATTCTGGCCTGGCCTGCTCCTGGTAGAATACGGTCTGGCTGCAGTCATAGTCTTTATTAGCCCTGTTAGCCAACAAAGGAGAACATGACTATCATGTTATAAAAAACAGGATGTTCTTGAGCTGGAAAAAGTCCAGAGAAGGGCAACCAAACTCATTAAGGGGTTCGAGGATCTGAACTATGAAACAAGGTTGTTAAAATTAAATATGTTCTCTTTGGAGGTTAGGAGATTAAGGGGGGGACATGAAATCTTGTATAGACTATTCAAAGGGGACAGCAACATTATTAACAAACTGTTTACGGTTAGCTCCGTAACAAAGACCAGAGGGCACAACCAAAAATTGGTGGAAAAAAAATTTCAACACACAGGGCGCAAGGGGCTCTTCACAGTTAGAGCGGTTAGGGTGTGGAACTCGCTGCCGCAGGAAGTGATTTCAGCTAAGAGTGTGGAATCATTCAAGAGACTCCTGGACGAGTTCCTTGGAGACCATAACATAAAGGGGTTCAGGTACTGCTAAGAGAAAAATCACACATGGACTCATATACACGCACACACCAGCTCATAAATGCATACACGCAATAGGTTGGACTTGATGGACTTATGTCTTTATTCAACCTCAAATACTATGTATGTAACTATGAGTACAACCTTGCCCTGGGCCCACCAGTGTATCATAATGACACCACTTGCCATGGTTGCCCATACAGCCCCCGTTAACTCTTGAGTGCAAGCATTGTTGTTAGGCATATTTTAATGCGTGTTTGTACATGTGGTTTTTGAATGTTTTTTTTGTTTTAGCCAATGGAAAATGGAGGAGGAGACGGATGTCAGGCATGAAGTCATGTAATGAAGACGTATAATAAGGCGCTCCTATTGAAGTCTATGGGGCCAAAAACACACTAATTCTGCCCGGAAAAAAGCTCATGTACTTTTTCGAGCTGCACGTGACACAACCCTCAGGTGTGAACAGACATTCTTGAAAATAACAGGGTTCCTTTATCTGAGCGGTTTCACACTTCGAGAAACAGGTAAGAAAATGCTCAGGTGTAAATGGGGGCAAATGTTGCTGAAAGGGGGTCAGCGGAGATGACGGATGTTACCTGTTAGCAGTGTCCTTCACCAGATTCTCCTGGCTATGCGCATCTCGCTGTTGCTGAATCTGCTGGTAGTTGTCCTTCATGTAGGACTCCCAGGAGAGAAGTGACGACTCTTGCTCCACGTCCAGCTCCCGTCCTGCCAGGAGGTAGAAATCAGTGTCAGTGTGCAACGTCTTACAAAGTTAATATTACAAGCCCAATGACAAAAAAGTTAAGACGCTGTGTAAAAATCTTCAAAACAGAATGCAATGATCTGCAAATCTCATATTTTATTCACCATAGAAAATAGAAAACATATCAAATGTTTAAACTGAGAAAATGGACCATTTTAAGAAAAAAATTAGGTAATTCTGAAATTGATGCAGCAACACGTCTCAAAAAAGTTGGGACAGGGCCATGTTTACCAGGGTGCAGCCTCCCCTCTTTTAACAACACTCTATAAATATCTGGGAACTGAGGAGACCGGTTGCTGGAGTTTCGGGAGAGGAGTGTTGTCCCATTCTTGCCTGATATCGGATTTCTAACTGCTCAGCAGTCCCGGGTCTTCTTTGTCGTATTTTTCGTTTCAAGATGCGCCAAATATTTCCAATTGGTGAAAGGTCTGGACTGCAGGCAGGCCGTTTAAGCCCCCGGACTTGTGTACTATGAAGCCATGCTGTTGTCATAAATGCAGTACATGGTTTAGCATTGTCCTGCTGCAGTATACAAGGCCTTCCCTGAAAAAGACGTCGTCTGGATGGGAGCATAGGCTGCTCTAAAACCTGGATATAACTTTCAGCACTGATGGCGCCTTTCCAGATGTGCAAGCTGCCCATTCCATATACACTAATGCCCCCCCCCAAAGGTCCCTCTCCTCTTTAGTCCGGAGGATGCGGAGCCCATGGTTGCCAAAAAGAATGTCAAGTTTCGATTAGTCTGACCACAGAACAGTTTCCAATTTTAAATGAGCTTTGGCCTAGAGAAGACGGCTGTGTTTCTGGATCATGTTCAGATGTGGCTTCTTCTCTGCATGATAGAGCTTTAACTTTCATTTTTGGTTGGCATGGCGAGCTGTGTTCACAGACAGTGATTTTTGGAAGTATTCCTGAGCACATGCAGTGATGTCCATCAGAGAATTATGACTGATTTTAACGCAGTGCCGTCTGAGGACCCGAAGGTCACCGCTATCCAATATTGCGTTTCGGCCTTGTCCCTCCGCACACAGAGATTTCTCCAGATTCTCTGAATCTTTTGATGATATTATGGTACACGCAGATGATGAGATATTTAAAGTCTTTTACATTGAGGAACATTATTCTGAAATTGTTTGAAAATTTGTAGACGCAGCTTTTCACAGATTGGTGAACCTCGGCCCATCTTTACTTCTGAGACACTCTGACTCACTAAGATGCTCTTTTTATACCCAATCATGTGAATGACCTGTCGTCAATTATGGTCCTAATTAATTGCAAAATGTTCTTCCAGCTCTTCCTTGTCACTACCACTTGCTTTGCCAGCTTTTTGTTGCCCTGACCCAACTTCTTTGAGACATGTTGCTGCCATCAATTTCAAAATTACCTGATTTTTTTCTTAAAATGGTCCATTTTTCTCAGTTTAAACATTTGATATGTTTTCTGTTTTCTATTGTGAATAAAATATGAGTTTATGAGATTTGCAAATCATTGCGTTCTGTTTTTTATGTAGATTTTACACAGCGTCCCAACATTTTTGGAATTGGGTTTGTACATATTGACTATAGTGTACATATTACAACCTGTCCGTGTGTTGTGTGAGGGTGTTGTGTGAGTGTCACCCCGCCGAGACGTCACTGCGCATGCGCGTGAAAGTCACCACGCGCGTGCGCGATGGAGTCATCGCGCACGCGCGGCAGTATTCTGATAACTGCCGGCGGCCATCTTGGTGATGGACGTCGGCAGAGAGAGGAGGGGACAGTCACCCGGCGGGATAAGGTATGCCGCCGGGTCCCCTCCTCTCTCCTGATACTGTCGGGCGTTCGGTCCATGACCAAGCGCCCGACTTTTTAGAGGGGGGAGACACCAAAATGACTGTGAGCCATTTTGGTGTCACCCCTCCAATGGTGTCACCCGGGTGCGGGCCGCACCCCCCTTGTGACGCCACTGTCAAGAAGGAATGGAAATGTTCTGACATATTTCAGGATAATGTATTAATTGGTGGCTGGATGCGGATTGTGGGCTTCTCTGTTGTACTTCTGTCTTTGAGGCACACCGAACAGAAGATCAGAAATGCTGGCGAGCCAGACAACAGACTTCCTGCGCAGACTGCAGAGCAGCCAGTAGTAGCCTGGTATACATGCATGCTGCAAGCCGATACAGATAGCTCATCCAGTTTAGAAATCCTCCCAAACAGGCTCGTTGCTCAAACAAGAAGTGCATTCAGGTTGCATTTACAACATGCAAAATGTGCTTATGAAACTTCCAAGAAGGCACATTTGTGAACGTTATCTATTCATACAAGATACTATCAGTAAAGCCCAGCACAGAAATCTGACCATAAAGTATCTTCTAATGAGCCCAGCCAGGTTTACATAAATGTTGGCAACATATTGATTCCTCTTTTTATGTATAGAAGTCCTGAAAAAGTGGAATGGTATTTCCCTCACTGACAATCCAATCTGAACAAATATCTATGGGCAGAGAGAGGCGACAACCTTATTCTCTGCCTTATTTTCTTGCTATGACATAATGGGCACTTCAACCAAACATTGCAATATGCAATACCGAGGCTTTAAGGGTCAATCCTAAGAAAACTGATATTTGTAGATATAGGTGAAGCCTGGCGGGCAGGCTCAGCCCCTGAATTCTAATATACACTATATTACCAAAAGTATTGGGACGCCTTTACACGCACATGAACTTTAATGGCATCCCAGTCTTAGTACAGTAGGGTTCAATATTGGGTTGGCTCCGCCCTTTGCAGCTATAACAGCTCCGCCTCTTCTGGGAAGGCATCCACAAGGTTTAGGAGTGTGACTATGGGAATGTTGGGCCATTTGTGAGATCAGGTACTGATGTTGGAGGAGAAGGCCGGGCTCGCAGTCTCCGCTTTTATTCATCCCAAAGGTGTTCTATGGGGGTGAGGTCAGGACTCTGTGCAGGCCAGTCAAGTTCCTCAGTCATTTTGGAACAGGAAAGGGCCATCCCCAAACTGTTCCCACATAGTTGGGAGCATGAAATTGTCCAAAATGTCTTGGTGTGCTGAGGCCTTAAGAGTTCCCTTCACTGGAACTAAGGGGCCAAGCCCAACCCCTGAAAAACACCCCCCCTCCATAATCCCCCCTCCCCCAAACTTTACACTTGGCACAATGCAGTCAGGCAAGTACCGTTCTCCTGGCAACTGCCAAACCCAGACACGCCTATCAGATTGCCAGACAGAGAAGCGTGATTGGTCCCTCCAGAGAACACGCCTCCACTTCTCTAGAGTCCAGTGGCGGCGTGCTTTACACCGCGGCATCCCACGCTTTGCATTGCACTTGGTGATGTAAGGCTTGGATGCAGCTGCTCGGCCATGGAAACCCATTCCATGAAGCTCTCTACGCACTGTTGTTGTGCCAATCTGAAGGCCGCATGGAGTTTGGAGGTCTGTAGCTATTGACTCTGCAGACAGTTGGCGACTTCTGTGCACTGCGCGTTTCATCATGCGCTGACCCCGCTCTGTCATGTGACGTGGCCGACCACTTCGTGGCTGAGTTGCTGTTGTTCCCAGTTGCTTCCACTTTGTTATTGTAGCGCTACCCCCGCAGGAGCCGCTGGTTGTAACGGATCTTTCTGTCCTGCACCAATGTACCGCCCAATGGTGGATCCACAGCACACCAACACACCTTTGAAGAGTTTTGTAAAGGATTTAATGGCTGAATAATCCAAAACAATACTCTTGGTGGTCTACCAGTCACATACAGTACAATCAATGACAGGCTAAGGCACTCTGGCACCCAGTCACTGCAGCTATCTATTGCCTATACGGAAACCTTTGATGCCAGACTGTCTCAGGGGTATATCTTGCGATTAATAAATTCAACAATAATATCTCGCCTGGGAAGTAACACACCCCCTCTAGACTACTGGCCAGTAGTAATATCCGAGGCTAGCCAACGTTGGGGCCCATACTGTGTAGCAGATGTGTAAAAGTACATTGTCAGATTGGCCCAGAGGCCTCTCACCGCTCCTAGGGTTATCTTGGAAAGATGATGTCTTTTAGCAGCAGATGAAAGTCCCACTTTCATCAGAACGACACTGAGGAGGAAGGAAAAGTCATCTATGGCCTCCTGGAACACATCACTGCTCGTCTAGGGTTTCCTGGAACACATCACCGCTCGTCTAGGGTCATCTAGGATCTCTGACAGCGATCACCGCTGGCTCCGCTCAAGTTGGGCTGCCTGGGTCACTCCAGGGGCTGGATCGGCCGCACGACCAGGCCGCGATATCCCCGCTGCTAACGCGTCACTAGGCCACAGTGTAGGCACTCAATCACCATCTCTTTTGCTCCGCAACCGGGGAATAGTCTTTGCGCACTGCAGTAGAGAGCCTGTGTGTCCCTATCAGGCAGAGGTGACCACACGGCCCTGTTGCAGGCAGCCTTCACTCACACAGTATCACATACATCCGCACACTTCACATCCCGGTCCTAGCCTGGGCACGCTCAGTATCTACCGCCCCTAGTCCTCCTGCTTCCTCTCGCACAGCATCCTGGGAGATGTAGTTCTCAACGTCCTTTCAGCAATGTATCCATATCTGCTCTGTACTACAATCTCCACAAGTCTCTGCCTCTCTTCACACACAGAGACAATTAACTGTTTAGAGTCAGAATCCACATTTCTATAGTAGCATAGGTATATAACAATATAGGGGCTACATTATAATACCACTAACAGGTGACCGTGGAATATTTAGTAGCAAGGAACTTTCACGGATCTGAATCCAATGATTTGGAGGGGTGTCCCAATACTTTTGGTAATATAGTGTATCTGTGATACTCCAACAACGAGATCTCTGCCATAGTTCCTAACTTTGTTCCTGTCCATCTGGGAGTTTTGGGTGTTTCCACCCACCTTTGTGTGTTCCAGCTCATCCTGTTACACTCTCCACAAGATAAAATAAATATAAAACCCAGAAGGGATGGTGGGAACCCATCCTAACAAGCACCCCAGGTGTGTGGACTCAGGAACTCATTGCAGAGATCTTACTGATAGAATTGGAATTTTGCAGCATTTGCCATTTATGCAGCATCATGGAACTAAAGCTTCTCATCCCGAGTTTACGACATGTGGTTTATCATTTCATACCAGCTCCCACATGCAAGGGCCACAATGGCAGCGGCCTCTGTGGCTTATCCTGGGACCAGCATTATCAGCAGCCTTCCTGTTAATGTGCTTGGAGCCCCCCAGGGAGTCACACTTACTCAATACTTTGTGGCCATGGGCTGGACGTCTACAAACTATATGTTTCAGGAAGTCATAGAAGTGAGCCAGGAGGATAAATGGAGGCGGAGCCGCAGGACGCTCATTATATTCTTTAATTAGGCCAAATCGGTGGAATTTCCAGACCTGATCTGTGTGACTTTCCACCTCTACGAATGTATAACTGTTGGACAGGAAAAACAATATGGTTACTTTCACGGCTATCAGCATTATAAAATATACTTCTTTACAACATTCTCACAGACTATCGAAGGAAATGCAACTATAAAGGAGTTATAAATACAAATAAAGCTCAGTTTCTGAGTTTGCATTTATTTCTGTGATGTATCCTGATAAATGTCTGGACTGACCTTTGTGAGCAATCTGCATACATACCTGACCCCACATCAATGTGTATAATGTAACACTAGGAGACATGCAGATGGGAGACTGTAGTTATGATTTGAATAAGCCTCCCCAGCTCTGAGCCCTTAGCATGTTGGTGTTCTGCTTAAAACATTCCAGTCCCATCCCACGCACTCTTACACAAAGCAACTCCCCCCCCCCCTTTTTTAATTTTGTATAATTACATTTTTATAGCTGTCTACAGGTTGGTCATGTAACAAGTGGAGTTCTCTTCCTCCTTAAAGGAGAACTATGGGGTCAGGGCTTTTCCCCATAGTTCTCCTAAGGGTAACGGGAGGACACAAACTAGCGTCCTCCCGTCACCCTAGGCTCAGTATACCGCGAGCAGTAGCTCGCGGTATACTGAGACGCCGCAGCTGAAGCGGATCCCGACAATTATGTCTGGATCCGCCCAGCTGCGTGAGTGACAGCTGGCTCTGCCTATCTAGAGGCAGAGCCAGCTTTACCCGCCCGTCCAGTCAGCGCTGGAGGATCGGACAGGGGAGGGGGGAATCCAGCCCCTCCCCTGTCACAGCTCTCTGCCATGACAGGATCGAGAAGTGAGCGAACGCCGGTATGTGTTCGCTCACTTCCCGATCTACTGAGCCGACCTGTGACAGTCTCATTGTCACAGGTCGGCTAGAACTATGAGGTGAGTGAAAAGCACCCACCTCATAGTTCTCCTTTAACTGTTTTCTGGCACTGGGTGGTCCTCAATGATGAAGAGAACGGCTCTGACATCATTACTTTGCAGCAGTGTACTGTGTGAGCAGAGTGCTGTGACGAGTCACCCCCAAGGGATGGGTCCATGATGTCCTGGGCTCACGGGAGGTGGGTTAAATTTATGCACGTCATCATTCAACCCAGGAGAGGACTTGTGCTGGACCAAAAGCAGTCAGTCTTTGGGGGACAGTGCCAGGGAGAAGGTATTTTAAACAGCCAAACTGGGTGCAGATTTTGGCTCTTGCAATTGCAGTGTTTTGGACTGGTATGAGAGGCTGTGCCCTTCAAAGAGACTCCACCTAAAGAGAGTGGCTGAACAATACAGTGTACATCAGCAATTGTTTTCAGCAGATGGGAATTGTCAGTCATCTTCTTACCTGAACATGGCGATAAGCAGATTGAGCAGAAGGATGTTGGCCAGGAGGAGATACAGGCACATGAGAATTATGGTCAGCCACTCTGGGAACAGAGCTTTGGATCCATCATTGAAAACACATTTTGGCAGGGTCGGGTCGGTGCCATTTTGGGAACATTTTGTTGGGTCAAAATTTAAACCTAAAAAACAGGAAGGTTATGTACCCCCCTCATCATAATGACCTACAACTGTGTTAAAATAAAGATGCTGTAGCAGCCAATCAGCAAAATTGCAATAAAATAAAGCAGAAAATGCCACATTTAAGTTATAAAAGTTTGAATTGACCTCCCTAAACTCAATTTTTTGGGATATCACAAGCCCACAATAAAGCTGGCAATACGCTTAGGGTGATGCTTTATAAACATTTTGCATAGCAAACAGCTATGCGAAAGAGATGCACAGCCTGTCATGGCCACTAGAGGGAGCCGAGGTGCTCCTCGGCTCCCTCTAGTGGCCACAATGAACAGCAGATCTCATTCACATAGCTGTTTGCCATGCGAATGGTTTATAAATGACTCGCTGTACGTTTCATCTTGCTCTGCACAGCGGACTGAATGGGAAAATAATAAATCAAAGATTTGGATGGGGGGGCGGGTGTGCTGCTAAAAAGAAATCAAACATTTTACTTTTAGCATATGAAAGGTTTGTAACTTATAACCTCATTCAGGGCTGGAGACTTAGTCCCCTGTAGTGTATATATCCATCTAGTTTCCCTCCTAAGTACTTCTGAGACAATATCACCTCCCCACCCCCACTATTACTATCATGTACTGTACTCTTTCCAGCACTCTAAATTTCATACACGATGAGTCAAAATTATGTATGAGACCTACATGGCGGCTGATTGGAGTGGATGTTATCCCTCTTGATATGAAAAGAGAACTATGGGGTCAGTGTTTTTCCCCATAGTTCTCTTAAGGGTCACAGGAGGACATATACTAGCATCCTCCCGTGACCCAAAGCTCAGTATATAGCGGGCTACAGCTCAAGGTATACTGTGACCGCCGCAGCCGGGACGAACAAGTTTACCAAAAGAACCACCAGGTAACTTACTGTCTACATCTGAAGGAAGCTGACCAAAGAGGGTGAGGTAGGGTTCGTAGACCACGTTGCGGAAAATCCAGTACAACCGGTCTTCATTGGTAATTAAAATGGCCTGCTTCGCCACTCCGTACGATACAATCCAAATGGCCAAGAGGAAGAGGAAGAAGAAGATGTCTTTAACCTGGAAGACACCAAAGATTAATGTTCTTACAAGTATAACATCTGTTTCTTCTGACTTAGTTCTCAGTTGTGTTATAATGACTGATGATTGATACACTATATAGCCAAATATTTGTGGACACCTGACCATCACACCCACTATATGGCCAAAAGTATACTGACACCCCTCTGGATTATTGACTTCAGGTGTTTCCAGTGAATGGTACTGTTAATGCCACAGTATTCAAAGACATTTAAGGCAATTGTGCACCTACAATGTTGTGGTAACAATTTGGAGAAGGCCCTTTTTTGTTCCAACATCGCTATCCCCCTGTGCGCAAAGCCAGGTCCATAAAGACACAGTTTGACCAGGTTGGTGTGGAGGAACTTGAGTGGCTTGCAAAGAGTCCTGACTTCAACCCTAATGAACATCTTTGAAATGAACTAGAGCCCTGATTGTGAGCCGGGTATTCTGATCCAACATCAGTACCCGACCTCACAAATTCCTGTAGACAGACTCCAAAATATTTTGGAAAGCCTTCCAGAAGAGTGAAAGCTGTTATAACTGGAAAGAATGGGGAGGGGAACCCAATTTAATACCCATGATTTTGACACAGGAAGTCTAGCATGTTAGAAATACAACAGCATATTCTAACATACTTTAATATGTCTTTTGAACTGTAGATGGCGCTGTAGTGCAATGTTAGTCTCACAGTGCATGCTTATCTATGATACACAGAAAATTATTTTCTCCATGTTTCCTTCACAATGCTGTTTTTCAATGGTTTAATGTTCTTCTAAGCAAATAAAACTTAATTTAGCATTCCTCAAGATCTCAGTGCTTCATCTAAACACATGACCAACATTTTATGGGCCCAGACACTGAACAGAACACTGCAAGTCAACAAGATCTGCATCCAAGCTACTGAAAGAGGGTGAGCTGTTCAGATAAGAAGTTTGCAATTGCAAAGCTCAACAATATCAACTACCAGCTATGGAAGCTCAAGCTTGAAATGCTGCTAAGCAACAGGGCCGGTGCTAGACTATTTTGCACCCTAGGCAAGACCAGCTACTGCACCCCCCAGCCCCCCGCGCAACCCCCATTCTCCTGCCGGATAGCTTCCGCAGGCAACAGGTGGATGTAATTTAATTTAAAATAGCCAATAGCAGTCTGGCTATTGAAAACCCACCAAGAGAGAGTTGCCTCTCAGTTCTGCTCCTCCGCTCAGTGGGTGGGTGCAATAGCCAGCCTGCTATTGGTGTTTGCAATTTGAAATAGACGGAGGGTGCAATGAAGGGGGGGGGGGGGGGTGAGTGATCGAGGCTGCTCCCTAGGCAGCAGTGCACCCTAGGTGGCTGCCTAGTGGCAGCACTGGCCCTGCTAAGCAAAGACGACTTGTGGCGAGTACTGAGTACAGACAGACCCACTAATGGACCCACGGAGGAATGGGACAAGAAGAACAGGCAAGCAAAAGCAATTATAAGTCTGCTATTGAAAGATGACCAGCTCATCCACAGAAGAAAATAGAATACAGCTAAAGGTATGTGGACTGCATTACAAAAACTGCATAAGCGTTAAAACCTAAACAGTAAACTATATCTGCTACGCAAGCTATATAAGATGAGGCTAGAAAAAGGCCAGGAAATGTGTAAACACGTGAATGCCATGCTGGAAATTGTAGAACAGCTACGTGCAATTGGAGAGGAAATTAGAGATAACCATGTGGTGGCATTACTGCTAGGCAGCCTTCCAGAGTCATACAGTGCTCTTATTAAAGGAGAACTATGGGGTTAGGGCTTTTCCCCATAGTTCTCCTTAGGGTAACGGGAGTACACAAACTAGCGTCCTCCCGTCACCCTAAGCTCAGTATACCGCGAGCAACAGCTCGCGGTATACTGAGATGCCGCAGCGGGAGCGGATCCCGACATCGATGTCGAGATCCGCCCAGCTGCGTGAGTGACAGCTGGCTCTGCCTATCTAGAGGCAGAGCCAGCTGTACCCGCCCCCTCCCCCGTCTGTTCCGCCAGTCAGCGCTGGCGGATCGGAGGGGGGAATCCATCCCTTCCCATGTCACGGCAGAGAGCCATGACAGGATAGACAAGTGAGCGAACACCGGCATGTGTTCGCTCACCTCCCGATCTACTGAGCCGACCTGTGACAGTCTCATTGTCACAGGTCGGATAGAACTATGAGGTGAGTGAAAAGCACTCACCTCATGGTTCTCCTTTAACGCTCTAGAAACCAGACCTGAGCAGGAACTAACACTAGAATACACCAAATGAAAATTAATCAATGAATATGACAGAAGGAAAGAAAATATGCACAATGAAGTAAACAAGAAAGCCCTTAATGAGCATGAGAGCCCTAAGCAAAACAAAGAAAGCAGAGTGTGTTTTCTCTGTAAAAAGACTGGTCACCTGAAAAAGGACTTAAATCTGGAAAGACGAGCAGAGAAAGCAAGAAGTAAAAATTTAAAAAAAGAAGCAATATGGATTTGCCAGCTTTTGATGGACATGGGCGTAGACGATGTCAAACCCCATCCCAATCTTTGAAGACAACCAGGGATGTATAAAGCTGACGCAATCAGAAAGGGTCAACCCTGGAACCAAGCACATCGACGTGAAGTGTCATCTGCTAAGGGACACTCAGGAGCCAGCCATTATCGACATGCAATATTGCTCATCAGAAGCAATGACTGCGCATGCACTCACCAAGCCATTGCCAAAGGATCGTCACAGTTTCCTTTGAGAGAAGCTGAATGTCATATTGCATTGCATGTGCTTAAGAAAACCTAATTCAGCATTCCTCAAGATCTCAGTGCTTCATCTAAACACATAACCAAACACAACAAGCTTATGTAGGTGTGATTGTCAGATGCCTATGAACATTTGACCATATAACGGAACTGTAGCATGATAAATTATCCTTCAAGATTGATAAGTAGACATTTGTAAACTGTGCTAGATAGCAGTCTTACCATTCGGCGGAGGATGATAATCTTAGGACCCAGAACCTTGCTGACAGAGAAGATGTGCATGAGGCGGATGCAGAATATCATGAAGTCTAGAGACAGAAACACACGACCCAGATAGACGGTATCTGTCCGAACCCATCTAGATACAGCAAGAGGGGCTATTAGAAGTGTGAAATACTACAACATCCCTATCTGAGAGAATGTAAGATTGTGGTTACTGGGCTTCATTTATAAGAAACAGCAAAATCATAATGTGTCTGTGTAGGGACCCCGTCCTATGCTGTAGTACCCCTAATAAGATTTAGTGTGTTACTTCTGGGCTCTATGGGAAGGTCAGTTCCTTTAATTATGAATGTTTCTGACCCAAACAATCCATAGGGTCCTTGTTCAGAGGTACGGCTTGGGAGAGGATAAATATTTGGGTCACCTTTCCAGAATGTTATCTCTTTTTCTGGGTTCTGCTTGGGGAGAATGTCTGCTTAGAATAATTTCTGCTTGGGCTTTGACTCAGCCTGGGGCAAGTGCCAGGGGCCCAGGGACTGAAGATTTAAATGCTATCCTTCCTAGCCACCTAGGGGTCATTCCTAACCACTTAGGGGTAAGGGGGTACGACATTTGTCTTGTATTTAGCAAGAAATAAATGTTCCCTGCTTTTGGGAACTGGAGGAAAACATGAAGCTTCCAGTTCATAGCATCCAATCAAGGTAAAAGAAAGAGGGGAACTGACTGGCTGCAGTTGGCACTTTGCACCAGTTTTCTTAAAATTAGATTCTGGAAGAATGGCAGCTGGAATATGACTTTGCTTTGGGGGCCTTCCCTATTTCAAAAGGTTACCTGTCCCTGCACTGTCTTCTCCTGCCAGTCCATGTACATGATATGAGATTGAAAACGTTGGTGCACTACATCCTCTCTAGTTAGACACTGCTTAAGTAGAAGTTCACTTTATTAAAGTCACACGGACAGGGCTATTGCTAGACGCCTCACCTGCATATCAGCCCCACAGCGAATAAACCCAAAGCCATCGAATCCACCTGATTCCAAAACTCTGTGATGTATTGGACCGACTTCTTCACAAAGCCACGTTGCTCCGGGTCATACAACAGCTGGGAGGCAGAGGACAGGACAACCAAAGAATTAGAGCATGACTTGAGATATATACAGATCAGCAGACAGCCAGACCGGCTGGAACAGAACAGAGAGAAGATCAGCAAACATTCAAAATGGCGTACGGCCGACATCCTCACTGGTACTGCTAAGATCAGGGCAGTTCAGCACACAACTCGCGGCGCCCCCTGTTCCGCATCCCCTAGCTCCTGCTCCCCCTGCCGATCTTGCTAGAAAACCCCAGCTGTCATTTTGACAGGCAGGACTTGCTCTGCATCTGCTGTTACAGGGGAGTTTGTAACTTCCTCTGCATGCTCTCTGTAGTATGTGGGAAGTACAATGTGACCTCTTAGCATTAGAACTGGGGAGCATCACTGTAATGAACATAATGAAAAGGCGTTATGTCCAATAAGCTCAAAATAATTTTTGGGAGACATATAAAGGTAGAAATGTCCTCTTATTCTTTTTGTGCGGGTGTTTTTGCACACAGTGGGAGTTTACATCACAAATGAGACTCCTGGAGCAAGCAATGTCTTTTTAAACTGCGCTCCAAGATCCCCCTTGGTCTTAACCACTTCTAGGATGTTAATTTATAGTTCAAATAATATATAATAACTTGATGACTATTTATGATGGATGTTTATATGTATATGCCTGTATGTTTTTGCATTGCTATATGTCTTTTTCTGGTGCTGGAAGTCTGAGGATGTTTACAATTTAAGTGTATCTAAACCCAATAACAAAAAATTATTATTTTTTTGCAGCTTTTCAGTCCTGAGATGTGGTGGGTGCATTCATTTTCTTTTTTTTTTAGGCTTTTACAGATTTGGAGGGAACACAGCTTACACAAGTGGTGGGGCTGTCCTAGACCTGGAGGTGGAGGCCCAAGAGGGACAAAAGAACTCTTCCTAGCCGGTTCTTAACCGGATCTAGCTCACAAAACCTTGGCCTTTTCGCTTGCTGCTCAAGATTACTCTTTCCACCCATGACCTTCCTAATGAAAGCATTGAATGAGGGGGTTCCCTTGCTTGTACAAGTGGGGGGGGGGGGGTTTGTTAGCCTCTGTGGCCATCTGGGATTGAGACCTCCCGGGCATGTGGGATTGAAAGGTTCTACTCCAATCTGTTCTCAGTTCCCAAGCCAAATGGGAGAGTACAGCCCATCCTGGACCTGAAGTCACTAAACCAGTTCTTGCTGGTACACAAGTTCTGTATGGCATCGGCACACTTTATAATTTCCTCCCTCCTGTAGAGATATTTCTTAGCATCAGTTGGCATCAAGGATACCTACCTGCATGTGCCAATTGTCCCTTCTCATCAATGCTGTCTGCGTTTTACTTTGGGAAACACTAACTTTCAGTTGTGGCTCTGCCTTTTGGCCTGTCCACGGCTCCACTGGTTTTTACCAGGGTTACAAGTACTGATACTTGCCCAAATCCTCGCAGATACAAGTACTGATACTTGCCCAAGTACTCACAGATACAAGCACTGATACTTGTCCAAGTCCTCACAGATACAAGCACTGATACTTGTCCAAGTCCTCACAGATACAAGTACTGATACTTGTCCAAGTCCTCACAGATACAAGTACTGATACTTGCACACGTCCTCACATATACATTTACTGATACTTGCCCAAGTACTCACTGATACATGTACTGATACTTGCCCGAGTCCTCACAAATACAAGTACTGATACTTGTCCAAGTACTCACAGATACAAGCACTGATACTTACCCGAGTCCTCACAAATACAAGTACTGATACTTGTCCAAGTACTCACAGATACAAGCACTGATACTTACCCGAGTCCTCACAAATACAAGTACTGATACTTGTCCAGTCCTCACAGATACAAGTACTGATACTTGTCCAGTCCTCACAGATACAAGCACTGATACTTGTCCAAGTCCTCACAGATACAAGTACTGATACTTGTCCAGTCCTCACAGATACAAGCACTGATACTTGTCCAAGTCCTCACAGATACAAGTACTGATACTTGCACAAGTCCTCACAGATACAAGTACTGATACTTGCACAAGTCCTCACAGATACAAGTAACGATACTTGCCCAAGTACGGGGAGGGTGTTAACAGCGATATTTCCGTGTTTGCGGATGACACCAGAGCGCCAGAGCCCGGTCCCAGCTGCAACCCTGGCAGTTCTCATGAAAATGTCAAGTATCGGCTCTGATATCGGCACTGGTATCTGAAAAGTATCGGTGCCTCCCTACTTTTATGTTTCAAAAGATTTTTATTTTACTTTTCATGTAAACAGATTTCAAGTACATTAAAACACATGTCACTTGTCAAATATAGTGAATCATAAACGGAACATACATAAAGAGGTAAAGTTGTAACCATCAAAGTGGTCCGGGAGAAGCACTAAACAATTCCTAGAATCTTATGGTACATTGATACATCATATCAGCTCAGACTTCCAGCCAAGGTTACAGAGAGAGAGGGGGGCCTGAGTTATCTGGTTCTGAGGGGGAGAAAATAA